GCAGTGTCACTGGCCCTCATGTGGGATCCGAACCGGGGCCCTGCTGCTCAGAGCTGGTGTCCCAAGCCAGCTTTTAACCAACATGCCACTCGGCAGGCCCTTGATGTTGTTTTTTTTTAATACTACATAAAAGCAATAGATGCAAGAGCTCTCTGAAGTACAAAAGCTACACTGAACTACACTTCCTAATGATTCAGAAAAAACTAAATTCAAGATACAAAGAAGTAACAAAAACATCACGGCCAAATCCCAAACAAAATTGTTATAAGAAAAAAGAATGAGGAACAGAAATCTAAAGAGGTAATGAAAACACACCAGAAAGACATGCTCAGAAAACATCGAAACTGCAAAGTATTTCTTCGAAAATAAGATAAAAAAAAAAGGAAAAACAAAAACTCCAAGAAATTGATTCATGATTTGATAGAACAACATTAATCAAAAATAGAAAAACTCAGAAATGAAGTTTTAGACCTCAAGAAGGATTTAGAAATAAAATCAATTTCAGAAGTAAAGACTAGCAGGAAAACAAGAAGAAATAAACACAATAGATAGTGCCTTAAAAGAAAAAAAGTGAAATGGAGAACATTTCAAATATCAAAAAAAAAAGAAATGGAGACCACAACCTGAGGCCCATCAACCTAGAAGAATCCTGTGCCCATGTCCCATGATGATAAAGGTCATAGTACTTGGAGCACGTGCTTTCCGCCCATGGGGACATAGTTATGAGAGCTGCTTTCAGTAAATGCCTGAGTAATAATGGAAGTAGACATGTTGGAATGAAATAGTAATTTGCCAGCAGGCTTCACCGTCACCGATCCTCATGACTGAGTGGGGGTTGCACACCCTTGCAAGAGTGTTGAACCCTCAGATTTGGGGAACTAGTGAGACTTTGACATACATCAAAGAATATCACACTCACAAGTTGAGTGTCAGCAGACACTGCAGAGTGTGAAGACCAAGCGGCATGACCCAACCTGTCAAGAAAAGAAAAAAAATGGAGCCACTTAAAATGGAACCAGACCTGCCATTCCAGAGGAACAGCCTTGCATGTCTCAGGCCTCAAACCTTGGAATGTTAAAACTGCGAAATAACCTTATCACTGGGCCTAAGGCAATATTATATTCCAAAAAAATGTTTGCAAAGTAATGAGAGCATATCTTATGACTATCAGACTTGTGAGTACCAGACTGAAAATGAAAACCATTGTTTAGATTTAATGTCACTGTGTTATGATGTCTTTGTCCCCCTTCCCCTTCTCATAAATATACCATTACCTTTGCCTCCCAATTGTAACATATGTGAGCTTCTGACTGAACCAGTGCGTCCCAGTAGCTATTCTTTGATCTCAAATATAGGCTTATTGCCTTTCACTTTGAAGGGACTGATTTTTAGGTGAATGAACCTATGGGAGCCTGTGAGACATAATGCATACTCAGAGTCTAGAACATGGAAACACAGAAGTTAAGAAGCAGCAGTGTCTATATGTGTCCATTATTCCCCCCTTCATTCTACATTTTGATTGTCAGAAAGAACATGTCGGTGAGGAAATTGACTTGATTTACGAAAGGAATAGTAGAACAAGAAACAAATTCATTATATTTTGGCCTTTTTTCTTACATTTTCTGGTAGGAAGAAGTACTTCATTCTGGAAAAGACTTTTTCTTTATTAAACAACAAGTAAATTTAAATCTTTTATATTCCTTCCTCAAAGTCCAAAATGTTAATGACTTCCTTAAACTATAATCTCAGAACATTCAAGTATGTCTCTTGTGGGTTTTGATCCTTTATTTGCTGCTATCATAGACAGAAATATTTCCCATGGCCTTCTCAGAAAGATCAGTGGTGGTTTCAGAGATTTGCAGAAGTGTTCTTCAACATTGGAGTACCTAAGAAAGACCCGGGTGGCCTGTGTAAACTACAGATTTCTGATGTGTGCCCCTGGAACCTGTACCTGTCACACACTACAGAGGGTTCTGAGGCAGGCTGTTGCCAAGTCATACTTAGAGAAACACTGGACCAGAGGAACTGATTACTTACTGCTGAATTCTGCATATGTGTGTGTATAGAGCATTAATTATGAATAAAAATGGACTAATAATTCCGATAGTTATGTTAGTCACAAAGTGGCAGTCATACGAGAGCATCGCATGAAAGGCCTATACAATGAACACCCTAACCAGGTAACGCTAAATGCAGGGTGGAGTGTGACCATCTGGATGGCTTTATGGGACTGCTGATGGGGGCATTGCACCCAGTTTTAGCATAAAATCAGAGCTCTCTGAGGGCTCTTTGCTCAGGCCTCAACTGATGAGCTGACAGCCACACCAGCACTCGTCCCAGACAGAGCGCTTGAAGCCTCCTCACCTCCTGACCGTCTCACCAGCCCGGCCTGAGTCCGACGCTACGCATCCTGGTGCTGAAGTAACTGGGGGCTGAGGTCCTACCTGATATTTGTGGTCATAAATTTAAAGAGTCGTCAGAAAGTTATTACAGGGGGAGAGAGAGAGGGTGAAGAAGAGAGAGATAGGAAGAGCAGAGGGAGTTTATGAGCTTTTTGGAGCTGGCATTTTTGTTGAATGAGAGGGGAAGTGGTCTCCAAGTTGCAAGGGATCAAGGAGAATGTCATGTATCCCATCCTCAAGTCCAGTGACACATGGGATATAGGAAAAAAATATATCCACTTCTAGAGATGACATCAGGGGAATCAGTCTTCAGAGGAAAACTGTGTTCTAGTTGAAGCAGGAAGGTGAAGGGATGGTCAGAGAAAAAATTAAGGGTAGAGGATTTTGCTGATGACAGAGTGAGTTTCTAAGCACTTAATAGAAGGCTTTGGGAGCAACTGGGAGTGGTGGGGGGGGGAATTAGTTCAGATTGAGGAATTTACAGAGCAGAATAGTGATTAGAGTTTATGTGATTAGAATTTTGGTGGTAACTGGGGTAAATAGGGATTAGTCCTGATGGTGTTTTATTTTATTTCTTTGGATAGGTAAATATTTTTTGTTCAAGGTATAATTTAAATACAGTAACATTGACCCTTTTAGTGCACACTTCTACCTAATTTAGAAAAACACATACAGTTGTGTAGCCACCACCACAATCAAGATATAGTTCCATCATTTCAAAACTTTCCTGTGTCCCTCTGTAGTCAACCCCTTCCTACCTAACCAGCTCCTGGCAAGCACTGATCTGTTTTCTGTAGCTACAGTTTGACCTTTCCAGAATGTTATATATACAGTATGTAGCCTTTCAGTAGTTTATTTTTTTATTCCTTAATGTATTCTATTTTATGAATGTACCCCTATTTATCCATTCACCAGTTGGATATTAGTGTTTCCAGTTTTTTGCTGATCGCACATAAAGCTCCTATAAACATTTACATATAGGTTTTTGTGAACACAAGTTTCCATTTCACTTGGCTAAATAGTTAGAAGTGGGATTGCTGTTCTGAAGTTGTCATATGTTTAACTTCATGAGAAACTGTTGAACTGTTTTGCAGAGTGACTGTGAATTCATTTATTTATTTATTTATTTTATTTATTATTATTATTATTTTAAAGATTTTTATTGGGGAATTGCGGGGAGGGGAACAGCGCTGGGGAATTGGGGGAAGGGGAACAGACAAGTTGCTGTCGTTTTTGTTCTTCAATCTAGTT